AACAGTTTTATTATTATTTTTTATTTACAAAAATTTTCCTATAACTTCTATTTTTCATATATTTTTTTTTAAATTCTAGTTTTTTCCTATAACTTTTATTTTACAAATTTGTTTCATATTTTTTTTAAAATTTCATTTTTTCCTATAACTTCTATTTCACAAAATTTGTTTCATTTTATTTTAAATTCTATTTTTTTTTCCTATAACTTCTATTTCACAAAATTTGTTTCATATTTTTTTTAATTCTATTTTTTTCTATAACCTCCTAAGCCATTATACAACATTAAATTAAATTAAGTAACATGAAACAACATTAAACAATATTAATAACATTAACCAACATAAAAAAAAAAATTTAACAACATGAAACTTAAACAACATTTAAGTTGTAGTTTTTAAATAATAAATTATGTTTGGCCCTATAGCCATTTGGCCCTCCGTTGGAAACGGTTTTTTGTGACAGGGCTAAAACGAGTCATCTGGCCCTCTGGCCCTTGTTTGGAGACAGAAGCAAATATGACCATGTACTGTTCATTAAAATATTAATATCTTGGAGAATCTTGGAGGGTCAGAGGGCTAAAACGAGCCCTCTGGCCAGCCTTCGGTTGGAGATGGCCTAACGGAATGTAAGGGTTTTCGATGTCATGTGGAGCTTCGTTGCATCCTTCCATTTAATGTTGATGTGTTTGTTGTTTCAAATTGTAACTACTGACAACAAGATGATGATCAGTGACACATCAATAAACAAATTCTTTGCTAATAGAGAAAATTAATCCATACATTGAGAAAACATGACAACAATCAAAACTAATCTAGAAAATAGAGAAAATTATTAATGTTGCAAATATATACACCCAAAAAAATAAATTTTGTTTTATATATTTATAAGGAGCGCGTTTAGTCAAAATGAGATGAGAGAAAAATATAAAGCAAAATAGTAGTATCTGCTAATAATAAGTCATAAACTTGTATTCTTTAGTATTTTTTTTATAGAGTTGTCATATCCCACTATGCAATTGAAAGAGTTTTTTTTTTTGGTTGTTTGATATTTTGGCAACAACAAAAAATATATAATACAAACCGATAAAACAAACAAATATTGGACAATAAAAAAACCTAACAAATCATTGAATTATCCATCTGTACAATTTTTTGAAAACATGTCTCTATAGGCAAAAATTTTTTATTTTATGTCTCTAAAGGTAAGTGTCTAAAAAACGAACCTATTTGGCATAGCAAACCAAGTTGACATGACATCCCCTTGGGATTGTGACATAACCCTTTAATTCATGGATTTGGATCCTCTTCGGATCCCCTCCTTGGGGATCCCGGTGATCAAGGCACAAGGACCGTTTATCAAAGATCGTGCGGGCATAATTAAATATTTTTTATATTTTTAAAAGTAAAACATTCTCGTTTTGCGTAAAAAAATATTTAATTATGATCGCACGATCTTTAATAAACGGTCCTTGTGCCTTGATTTCTGAGATCCCCAGGGAGGGGATCTAGGGAGGATCCAAATCCTTAATTAATCACCTTTTGCTCAAGTGAAGCCATATAGATGTTGGTGTGTAAAGTTGGCTCCATACAAGACAACAGGATGTGGAGAGGCATTTCACATTGGGGAAGTACACTAGTAATTTAAAAATTAAATACAAGTAGTTCATTTCTAATTGTACGGAATTTTTTTATGATAAAATTTCGTAGTTGAGGTTTATTGAGCCAGATGTCATCTATATATTAGGCCTAAGTGGTTAATCGAAAATAATATAGTAGTGCAGGTTGTACTAAATATTGGATACTTAATAAACTGAAAAACATATACACAACCAAACTATTCAACTCAAAGATATTAAAAAGAAAATTGCATTATTGAAGATGATCAAATAAATTGAAAAGATCAAATAACATAAATTAATGGAGGATGTAGAAAAATAATTAAATCAAACTATAATAGTCAACCAGTTTGCATAAATCACTAGCTCAAGTTGTGCACAAATTGATGAAATGTGACATTCATATAAGAAACCAATCCGTTCTTATCTCAAACATGAATCCTTCTCAACTTTGGCTGATGACAACAATCAATAGCAGAGTGACATCAACAAGGTTACGTCATTTGGCACATGAAGATAGACGGACTTTCATTTAACAGACTATATAATTGGGGGCATGAGGCCAATAATTGTAGAACAGAGGCATGCATACAACCATTCAAACATAAAAACTAAAATCTTCAAGAAACAAAAAATGCATATCCCTGTTTTATTCTGTTTTTTATCCTTTGATTGTTCATAGACTAGAAATAATAAACACGAGTGTGTAAGGAAAGAAAAGATGTATGCACAAATCACTTCATAGCATATATAAAAAGTATTGAGCTTCTATTCAAACTTAAGTGCAATGAAAAGCATATCAACTTTTTCCAAATACTAGCACATCTTTAGAAAATTAAAGGACTTCTCATGTGTGCTTATAGAGACTTGGCTACTCTCTGATTTACCAATTGCTTTTATTAGGGTAAAACCTCAATAATTTCTTCATTACAAAAGGTAGACAAGTTGATCAATCAATTTCTTCGAGCTACCTACCCGTATTCTTCTTCCACTATAAGAATATATGGTTAATTTAATTCAATGTTCAGAATTGTTATTTACCTATAACCGTTTATGTTCATATTCGGATAACTGTTTACCCGTTGGGTAATTGCATAAACAATTATACTCATACCCATAACTGTTTATAAATGGTTAACCATACCATAACAGTGTACGTATTTAACCATAACTGTTTACCCATTTAACCATAACCATTAACCCGTTTAACTTTTTTTTAACCATTTACCCTTTTTTCACCCTCTACATGTTTTTTTTAACAACTTGAAAATTACAAATGATAATTTTGTCATAATTTTCATTTTCTGGCAATTAAACACTATTATAGGTTCATTTTCGCATGCATTTCTCTATTTTAGACGATTAGACATAATAAACATGTAATATGTATGAGATACATAGAAAAGTAACGGATACAAAACACGTTAATATGTATGGGGCAACGAAGACGTAATAACTGAGTAGATTCCAATCTAACGTTTTCAATGGGCTTACGGAGGTCTCAGAATTGAGTAGAGGCAAGTTTGCGACTTAGCAGCATGTCTACAAATGACGAATCACACTTGTCGTCTCAAGCATCCTCAGCTAGTCTAGATGTAACAACTGTGGTTCTAGCTTCCTTCAACTGTGATATGCGGCCAATGGTGTTGATATGCGACCAAAAAATAAGAACAAAAGCCGAATCAAGTTCACTCGAAGCACATCAGGAAGACAATCCTAAAAAAGAAAGATTGGCTAAGCTTTTGTGACAGAAATTGAGGAACTATAGCAGGTAACTAAAAGATTAGCGAAAATGAGAGAGAGGGCAACGATGAGGGAGAGATGACCGGGGGACAGGGTGTTTGAGACTTTGAGTCTAGCAGAGAGATTGAAAATTTAGGGTTTTAATTTTTTTTTTTATTAAATTTTACATATATTAAATTAAATGGGTAAATGGATACCTGTTATAACTGCGGGTAATACCCATAACCGATGAATATCCATTATAATCGCGGGTAATACCCATAACCGTCAATTTAAATTTCCTGGATAAACGGTTATACCCTTAACTGTTTGTAAATCTCACTACCCATAACCATTTGTTCATCTAAACGGCTACCCATGACCGTAACTATGAACTTTAAATGGACGGATAACAACGGTTACCTAAATCCATGTGTATTTTGCTCATCCCTAGTGATCAGTATTGGCAGTCGCAAGGACGCGGTAAATCTGCAGGTAAGAGTTCTACTCTGTACAAAAGTTATGAACTACAGTTTGTGTTTGGATGGCCGTGATTCATGTTAAACGATCTTGCTAATTGGATCTTTTAGATTGGATTTTTGTGGTTTTGAATTTCTGGATTTTTTAGGGATTTCTGGGTTTTTTTAGCTTTTGAGTGTTGGGGATTTCTGTCCCTTTCAAACTAGCCCTCCATCGCTCTCAATTTCCTCCCCTTCACCGATCATCTGAAACCAGTGATACTCAGAGTTCCCCATCATCGAACTTCATTCGAAAACCTTCTGGAGCGACTTCTCCTCACCAAGCAGCCACTGTGCTCCAAATCTTTCTAGTTGAAATTCCTCTTCTTTATCCTTTCATATTGAATTTCACATCAACATTGGATTCGAGTTTTCCGAGGATAATCCGACGATTCCTACGACCCCCACCATCGAGGTTAGTCTAAAAGGATTCTTATCTTATAGTTGTATTGCATGTTAAAATCTGTTTCGAATTTGTGATTTAATAAAATTAGGCTTTAGAAAAAATTTCATGATTTTGTCTAATTGAATTTAAGGATTAAATTTTGTTTTCATTACTGTTCTGGGTTTGTTGGGGGGAGGGGGTTTGGAATGTGAAGTACAGAACTTGGTTGCATACACTACACCCCAGAAATTAACCACAGGGTGCTGGTTGAATTGGCCGAACACAGAAAGGAATTAGAGAAGACAAAGTCTCATGAGCATCCGGTAGTTTTCTACTTTGGTTAATTGGTCAAATTTTATTTAGGTCCTAGAAAGATTGGGAGGTCTATGAGATATGTATTCGTGCAGGATAAAGCTTTGGATGTTTTAGCAATTGAGGACAAGAAAAGGCAACATGCTGCTGCAGAGAACCATCTGGAAGATGTATTGCATTCAGCTCTAGCCACTTCAGAGTAATGTACCACTAGACTTTTGTTATATGATTGTGTCTGTAAAATTATGTAGTTTTGTTTGCATTATTAAAGAACTGGTAGATCAAACTCCAAAAAGGTATTAACAAGGCTTACTTGATTCAATGAGTGTGAAATTTTTGAGTTATGAAGAAGATGAGGAGGAGAGTTGTTCACCGAACAACATTATCCATGTATTAGGAGGAGCCTTTAAGGGAAGGGATCCCTAATTTTTTTTCAAAGCACAGTAATACCAAATCAGCCCTTAAAGAAATGATAGAAATAATGATACAACTAGTAACGGTCTTGAGTTTGTGGTACTCCATGGTGAAAAGCTACCATGAGTAGAAATTAACTGGGAAAAGAACAGGAAGAAAAATGAAATGGAAAACGGAGTGCCTAACTTAATGTTGATACTTAGCGAGTAAAAGTCCACGCCATTTGTGTGATAGTGAGTAAGATGACACAAGTAGCAACAATGAAGGAAATAATTTTCCAAGGTGTGTCGAAATATGTTTGTTTCAGATCTGCCATCCATATGTTCCACGGATTTTTGCAGTAGTTGTCGAGGTCCTTTGTAAGCTTAGCATAACTGAATTCATCTCTGTCAAACACAACACCTTTGCAAAGCCTGTTAATCAGAGTAGATACCTCATTGTTGTCACCAAGCAGATTTTCAACAATTTCCTCCTTGACAAGCAATTCCACATCAATTGGGGTGTTCACCAAATGATCAATGAGGATGATATAATCACTGAAGAAGTAGGAATTCGGAGTGCAATGGGATTGCTCAAAGGCAATAACGTTTCGGAGTACAAGCTCTGTGTCATCATCGATTATTAGATGTGGAATTTTCAAAATTCCGTCTTGATCATTGAAACGTATATCAAATAAATTCTCGCTTGATCTCACCGGACGAAACTTGACTCCAGCCCTGTGTAGTTTCGTCGAGGGCGGTATACCTCGAAATCCGAGTTGCTCTCCCTTTTCTGAGTTCCCCTTCGCCGTTGGTAGATGTAAAGTTCTAACCAAATCAACAAAATGATGTACTACAGAAGTAGGACATTTCCAATTGTCTTTTTCCATATAAAACCCCGTTGATTTCTTGCAGAACTCGTAAGAGAGGTCAAGTACTGAAAGCTTCGTAGCCGGCACCTGATCGGCAGTGGGAAAGAGATCCTCTTCTTTTTTTGTCAAGGAAAAGAGATCCTCAAGAATGAAAAATGGCAGCTGATTTTCGAGCAAAAGCATGTCAGGTACTATAAAATTTATGAACCCTGGTTTGTAAAAGATGCGGTCATTGCTATCGGGCTTGATATGCTCCCCGTCCCTCCTCAATAAGAGCTCAATGATGAACGCGGCATCCACAAGAATGATTTCTACAAATTTTTCACTGCTAAACTCAATGGTGTGCGCATAGCAACTGCGCAATTCCGCTTCCTTGCCCTTTATTTTCGTTACATAATCTTTCTCGCTGACCCCAGTCCGCTCTAAAAAATACTGCAGATACCTCCTCTTGTGTCCTTCCATTTCTTCTAAGCCTTCCTTGCCATGGTGAAGCGGACCTATAGAGACTATTTGAGGTGTGTAGGCCTTTTCATTTACACACCGTACTGGTTCAGGAACTCTGTAGATACAACACGGATCGGACAAGGGAGGCAAATCATTCTCCTGACTCTGACCCATTGAAGTTAGTAACGGAGTGCACAGGCTTTCGATGTCATATGAAGCTTTGCTCCTTCCTTCCATTTAATGCTAATGTGTTTGTTGTTCCAAATCGCAATTGTTGACGATGAGATGAGGATCACTGTCACAATAATAAGCAAATTCTTCGCAATGATATTTTTAACATGCTTCAACTAACTATTGAGAAAACATGACAATAATCAAAACTAATCTAGATAATAATGAAAATTAATCCAAGCATTGCAAATAAATACACCCGAAAAAGTAAATTTTGTTTTATGTATTTATGACGATGAGCGCATTTGGTCAATTTTGTTTTATATATTTATGACGAGGAGTGCGTTTGGTCAAATTGAATTAATTTTTTCTATTTACCCTCTGTTTATTTTAATTAACGTAGGGATGAGAAAAAAAATATAGAACAAAATATTAGTATCTACAAATAATAAGTCAAACTTGTAGTCGTGTAGTATTTTTATAGAGTTGTGACGTCACTATGCAATTGGAAAGAGTTAAGTTTAAATTAAAAAATATATATTTAAACTCACAAGCAAACAGATATAATACATTTTTATCAACAACAAAGAAATATTGTGATATAGGTACTTGTGATTCAGGTAGATAATACATTTAATATGTGATAGAGGTAGATTAAGAAAAATATTAAATAAATCTATATTATAGGTAACTTATGAACAAAAAATCTATGGAATATGCAGATAAACTTATGATATAGGTTGAATATAAAAAATAATAGAGAGATACATTAAAAAAAATATGTAATATAGGTAAATAAACATCAACGAATTTCATAGAATCAATATGATTTTCATAAGAAAACAATGATATTGATAAGAAAAACACTAAGAAGAGTTAAACAAAAAAGAACTAATGTTTTTTTACACCTTTCCTGGAATTATACAACTAATGTTTTTTTACCTAATAGTCCTCATTTGTAACTTGGGCATATCAATTAGAGTAGATAAAATTATCCATATGCCAAACAAACCAAGATAAAGAGCTCATTTTACAGTAATATGAGTGTACCAACGTCAACAAAAACACTATAAAACAATAGTGGAGCATAATTGAGATTTCGCTTGCCAAAACAAAAGAAAAAGAAAGCAAACTTACAATAACTCAGTCTTCAATCCTGAGGTCCTACTGCTGAAAGAACCAAATCTCAATGCCAGGTTTCTGCAATTTCCTAAAAAATACAAATAAAAAGTCAAATAACCGCGCAGCGAGCTTTCTAAGAAACTCAGATGACAAAATCAACATGATATTAGATAATACATTGCATTGATTATAAAGCTTCATTATCACATTTAACACCAATAACGACGATTAAAATATGATTTTGAGAAACATAATACAAAAATGAAATGTAATATCTAAATTGATTAACCTATCTGATGTTCATTCAACTCAAGTATCAATTCAAATATCAAATAGTGTTTCCAATATTAGAAATAGGTCTGTTATGCAATCTGTAATTTGTGAACAGAGAAGTTAAGAAAATACCATTTGAAGGTTCTGCCTTGTAAAATGTTAGTACTTCACTTCCATTTTGCTAGGTGCATCCGCGTGTGAAATTGCAGTTTTGAAATTGGCCTGCTTTTACAGAAGTGCCCAAAATTCAGGGGTTACTCAATTTCTTATTGCTGGAATGGATTAAAAGAGCCTTACGGGAAGGCTTGCTATACTTGAAAAAACAAAAGAACCACTTAAGTGGTTTCAACAAACAATGCAAAACAAAGACTAATCTTCTTTTATATATAAAGCCAGAGCCCCACTTTGAGGTCATGGATGGCCAAAATGTCCTTCAACCAAAAAAAATCAAAAGCAGCAAAATGAATGCATAAAATAATACAAGGGTAATTTTATAATTAACTTTTTGGTGTAGTTTTTTTATTTTTTATTTTAAAATTAGTAACTTATAATAAACTGGTAATAATGTGATTCAATTTCTTTATTTTTAAATACGTTCGAAATATCTTAAAAGACATGTAATGTCGGTTATAAAAAAAAAAATTACACGCGAATAATAATGTGATTAAATTAATTGTTAGATGACTGTTTTTTTTTTTTAACAAATGATATTATCTACATTAAGGGGAATGAAGTAGGTTTAGTCTCATAATGGACTAGCAATAATATGATTCAATCAATTTTTTATTAAATATTATTTTCTTTATTGTTAATGTAAATTCTATAAAGATCGATTTTATTATTTGAATACAGCTGTTTTAATTGATTTATTTTGTGATTTCTTCTAACATGATCTAAAATTTTTCATTTACATCAAATATTCGACTTTTCTTTTGTCTATTTACGTATATAAATACATTTAAAACATGTACGTCACGTGTAGCATGCTGTAATTTAAAAAATATCTTGGAAACTTTAACGAAAAGCTCCTGGCACTGTTTACTTTAACGAAAAACCACATTTTAACACTAAAAAATCAATCTTGATATTATTCACTTTATCTTTCATTTTGTCCATTAAAACTAAAAGTTTTCAAATTTTTTTATTTTTTCTAAATATATTCTGCACGTGCTCACGGACGTGCATGAAGACAAATACATGTAAAAAGAAAGAAAGAAAAAGTGAACAAAGAGTCTTCAACTTTTGAAAAAGGAAAGGCTGTCACTCTGCTCTCTGTCACTTTTGAAAAATATTGACATCTAGCAGAAAAGTATTTATATTCCACCAATTTCAGTCACTTTATTTTGATTTGGACTTTCAACACTAACTTCACAAAAAGCTCTGCTTTTAGTCTCACACAGAGAAAAATAAAATAATAATTAAAAAACGAAGGTGAAGCAAAAGTAAAGCGGAAAAGAAGAAAAGCCGAAATAACAGTCTCAGCATAAGAAAAACCGAGGGAAATCCGTCCGGACATTGGTGATGAACAGTAACCCTTCATAGAGTTTTAGGCAAGAATAATCAAGAGGAAACCAAATTAAAAAATTGGAGATTTTAAGAACAAAAAACTCTGCAATCAAACAAAATATAATCTATAAAAAGAGTTTAAAGAGAGAGAAAGAGAGGAGTGAAGAGACATACCATCCTCAGGCAGCCAAAACTTTCAGATAAAAGGACACCAAAAAAAACACAAATTTAACGAAAATTTGAGCACAACCCAGAAATTTAAAGGAAAAAAATCTACGGAACTTAACTAACACTCAATCATAATAAATCCAAAATCTGAGTTGTGCATTCAATTGCTCACCTCCGCTCGCCTTCTTTGTACAGAGAGTAATCAATGTCCTTTTTTACACAATAGAACATCAACGCCGCTAAAGACGCAAATATGTCTACGAATAATAAGTCAAACTTGAAGTCGTGTAGTATTTTTATAGAGTTGTGACGTCACTATGCAATTGGAAAGAGTACGAACAATGTGATAGAGTTTAATCACAGGTACCTATATCACAATATTTCTTTGTTGATATTGATTCTATGAAATTCATATTTCTTACATGAAAGAGTATGAACAATGTCATAGAGTTTAATCACATTTAATATGTGATAGAGGTAGATTAAGAAAAATATTAAATCAATCTATATTATAGGCAGATAAACTTATGATATAGGTAAATTAATACAATTATTTGTGATATAGGTAGAATATAAAAAATTATAAGGGGATATATTAAAAATATCAACGAATTTCATAGAATCAATATGATTTTCATGTAAGAATAATATGTTCTTTGAAATTCGAAGATTAATGATTAATTGAAGACAATATCAATGCATGGTTGATAGTTGTACTCAATAGTGAATATGTATGAAACTTAAACATATATACACAGCCAAACTATTCAACTCAAAGATATTAAGAAGAAAGCTGCAACATTGCCTTAAGGAGTAACTACGACACTAAAAGTTTCAAACCGATGGATACGCGCAAACATAGTATTGGAGAAGAAAAAAGCTAGACGAAAGATTAAAAATATGTCGTCTAACTCGTTTTGAAGGGAAATTATTATTTTGAGAATGTGTGCATGATAATTTGTTGAAGTATCAGCAACAATACTTCTCATCTAAAATGAAAAGAAAAAAAAAATAAAGCGAATTCGCACCTGTTTTGTATACAGGAAAAGAAGCAAGTTGCAGGTTGATTTGCCTCTTGTAGATGAATAGGCAAAGTCAATACATATTACTTGTTCATTTGGTAGATTAAAAATAGGTTTTCTTATAACAATAGCTCGATGATAGGTTGCCTATATATAAGCATTTCTTCTTCTATAGGTTTTTGCAGAACGTGTTTAATGGGCCATATTAAATTAATGTCGTGATTCATCATATAGCTACCTATCGTTTGTCTTTCCTTAACCAAAAATAAAAGTGATTGAGACCAATTAATGTGGTGACAGTGACAGAACATAAATTTGGAAAAATCTCAATATTGTGGTAGCCGGATCTATCTCACTTATTGTGATCCATTATTTGTCTCCGGATGAGAGACAGAGCAAATCCAGCCAACATGATTTGCCCTGGACAAAGTTTGTGGTAGAATGACCGAGCAACGCCCGTTTGGCTTGCAGAGACAACTACATAAGGAAGGGTACTTTAGGCGTTTCATACCCTCTCCCTTTATTATTCCCAGTGTATAGAATTTATTCGATATAGTTAATATTTTCATGAAAAATATCGGAAAAATTAGGGGAATAATACGAAGGGGAGTGAAGTGTAAACTTCAAAAGACATCATATAAACTCTTAAATTTTGGATATATAAAAGACATCAGAGAAACTCTTAAATTTTGGATATTATCTACATTAAGGGAGTGGGGGAGTGAGTTAAGTCTCACAATAAACTAGCAATAATATAGTTCAAATTTGCATTTGGTAAGAATCGAACCTAAGATCTCTTACTCATAAATGAAGATGAATACTACTGGACTGTAGTACTAAGCAGAAAATTTTAACAACTTTTCATCAAAATCAAATAATATAGTTATATAAATATTTTCACAAATTTGTATATTGATATTTTTCTATAATTTAACGTAGTAATGCTAGCGTCCGATTAATCCAATCAAACTACAAACAGTCCACCAGTTCTCGAGTTGTGTACAAATTGATGGAACGTGGTATTCATACAAGTAACCAATCCGTGAAGTTTTTCGAGTGGTTGGAAAACTATGCATGTTGGAAGATCTTTGTTTAGGGTTTTAACAACCAATAACAGAGTGACATCATCTGGCAATAATGGTCCCTTCACGTGGAGATGGAGGAACTTTCATTCAATGGACGTACCTCATGACCTATGAGGCCATTAATTATAGAACAGAGGCATGCAAACTACCATTCATACATAAAAAATTAAGAGTTTATTTGGTATCTTATTTAAATTTTTTTATCATTTTTCAAAATATTTTTTAAGAATATTTCTTGAAAATAATTTTCTTTAAGGTTCAAAAACTTGATTGATTTACAATTTAAAATTTTTAAACCTTACGCCTTAAACTACAACAAAGAGGTCTAAAAAGAGCAGGTTGCAAAAGAGGAAGAAAGAGGAGAGATGAGGAAATAAAGTAAGTGATGATTGAAGGCAAAAGAAAGAAGGGAGATGATTAGACGAGATAGAGTGGAAGATGAGTGAGAAAAAAGAACCTAACGAATAAAGAGAACGGATTGGAGAAGAGACCAAAAAGGTAAAAGAAAAAAAAAAAGGAGTGAGAAAGAAGAAAAAAGAGATAGATTTGGAGTATCACATCCCGGCCCGGGACGGATCACTTCCCGGGCCCGCTTCCACTACCGTAGCACGATATTGTCCGCTTTGGGCTTACCATTCCCTCACGGTTTTGTTTTTGGGAACTCACGAGCAACTTCCCAGAGGGTCACCCATCCTAGGAGTGCTCTAGCCCTCTTCTCGCTTAACTTCGGAGTTCCTACAGAACCCGAAGCCAGTGAGCTCCCAAAAGGCCTCGTGCTAGGTAGGGATGAGAATATACATTTAAGGATCACTTCCCTGGACGATGTGGGATGTCACATGGAGTGAGAAGAGGAGGAAGAAAAAATAAATTAGTGAGTTTAAGTTTAAAAACTCAAAAAACTCACTTTTTATGTTTTTAGATAATATATTATATTTTTGAGTTAGTCTTTAGTTCAGTTTTTTGAAAATAATCATACCAAACAAGTTTTTAAGGTCTAAAACTTGAAATTGTTTTTAAATTTAAAAGGTTGGATTAAAGTACATTACCAAACAGATCCTAAAATCTTCTAGAAACAAAATAAGCATCCCTCTTTAATTCTGTTTCTTCTATTTTGAATCGGTCCAAAGACTAGAAACAATAAACATGAGTATTCCTACAATCAAGGAATAACATTACTTATTTTATTAATTTAATCAAAAATTTAATTTGATAAAAAGGTAACAATAAAATAAAGTTGAATTACAATCATGGTACATGTTTTAATAAAGTGGACTATTTCTAATAAGGCATACAAAAAATGGACTTATATTAAAGAATATTTAACTTTGTTTACCATTCTTTATATGATGTAAAAGAAATTGTTATTAATATTCTAAAAAAAATCATCATTAATTAATCTACGATGTGAAAAATAAGATAAAAGAAGGGTGAATTATAACATATTTTGGAATACAACTAAAATAAAATTTTAATTAAGAAAATAATAATATAAAATATTAACGTAATTTAATTATAATCATACAAATAAAAAAATACAAAAAAAAAAAAAAAAAGGACAGGAATCTGCCTCCTTTTGCAGAACTTGTTTAATGGGCCATATTGAATTAATGTCGTGATTCGTCAGATAGCCACCTATCCTTTGTCTGTCCTTAACTAAAAAACAAAAGTGATGGAGACTAATCGTCCAATAATGTGGTGACAGTGACAGAACGTAAATTTAGAAAAATCTTGATATTGTTGTAGCCAAATTTATCTCACTTATTGTGATCCATTAATTGTCTTGGGATGAGACACATGAGAGCAAATCCAGCCAACATGATTTGCCTCAGTTTGGCTTGCAAAGACAACCACATAAGGAAGGGTACTTTAGGCGTTTCCTATCCTCCACCTCTATTATTCCCAGTGTTTGGAATTTCTCCGATACAGTAATATTCCGTGAAACTATCGGAAAAATCAATAAAAGATATGGAAGGAAGTGAAGTGTAAACTTCAAAAGATATTAGAGAAATTCTTAAATTTTGGATAAAATCGATAGTTTTCATCGATATTTTCGACATATTGGTAAATATTGACAGACTGCTATATGACATTTCCTAATATTTAAATTTTTTTTTAAACAAACAATATTATCTACACTAATGAAGTGGGGAAGTGAGTTAAGACTCATAATGAGTTAGCAATAATATAGTTCAAATTTGAATTTGAAAAAAATTGAACCTAAGATCTCTTACTTATAAGTAAATATGAATACTACTGAACCGTATTACTAAGCAGCAAGTTTTAGCAAATTTTCATCAAAATCGACTGATATAATTATATTGATATTTTCACAAAATTGTATATTGATATTTTCTATAATTTAACGTAGTAATGCTGGCGTTCGATTAATCCAATCAAACTACAAACAGTCAACCAGTTCTCAAATTGTGTACAAATTGATGGAACGTGGTATTCATACAAGTAACCAATCCGTGAAGTTTTTCGAGTGGTTGGAAAACTATGCACGTTGGAAGATCTTTGTTTAGGGTTTTAACAACCAATAACAGAGTGACATCATCAAGATTACGTCATTTGGCAATAATGGCCTCTTCACGTGGAGATGGAGGAACTTTCATTTAATGGACGTGTATAATTGAGGGCCATGGCCTATGGGGCCATGAATTGTAGAACAGAGGCATGCAAACAACTACCATTCAAACATAAAAAAATAAAATCTTCCAGAAACAAAATGAGCATCCCTCTTTAATTCTGTTTCTTCTATTTTGAGTCGGTCCAAAGATTAGAAACAATAAACATGAGTATTCCTGCAATCAAGGAATAACATTACTTATTTTATTAATTTAATCAAAAATTAATTTGATAAAAAGGTAACAATAAAATAAAGTTTAATTACAATCATCGTACGTATTCTAATAAAGTGGACTATTTCTAGTAAGTCATACAAAAAATGGACTTGTATTAAAGAATATTCAATTTTGTTTATCCTTCTTTGTGTGATGCGAAAGAAACAATTATTAACATTTAAAAAAAAAATCATCATTAACTAATCTACGTTGTGAAAGATGAGAAAAAAAGAGGGTGCATTATAACATATTTTGGAATGCAAGTAATGTTGATGTTTAATATTCAGAAGCATGCTTGTGATTTCCAGAACACCTGCTTCTGCCACATCTCCCGTCCCAGGCGAGATCTTCATGCCCTTGCGCCTTCTCTTTGTAACTTTTAATTTCGTCTCGAAAAAAATTTACATTTATATTTAGCATTGGGTTGGTAACTGGTTTGTCATTGCCCACAATTCATGTCCAATAAAAGCCATTTCTCAATGGTGGTGGATCCACAAGATTTCCTGATTGGTTAGGAAGAAATTTTAGGTGCGTTGGTTTATTTGTTTATCTATTTTCTGATTGGTTAGGAAGAAATTTTTTCAATTAATTGTTGTAAGTTTCAGGTCTTCGCGGTCTTTGCGTTCGTTTCCCTCTGTTCTTCTCCGATTTTGGCCGGATCTGTTTTGGTTTTCTTTTTCGTTTGACGGCCGTAAAAACAAACTCTGAACCAAGTAATTTGCCAATCAGGACCTGAGCTTGGAGGTAATTTCACTTTTTGCACAATCGTCCGCGTGCGCCTGCTGCTTCGGCGACTCGAGCTTCGCAGTTCGCTTTTCTGAACGAAATCAGGTATCTTTTTATCCAATTTCACTTCTTTTATGGGAACAATTGTTAATTTGACTTTGGTGGTTGATTTAAGAGCTTTTCATCTTAATTGCTTCGTGCTAGGGATTTGGTGCGTATTTGATTATATTTGTTACGGTTATAATTCCTCTATGTTTCGTAATGGGCCTCAGCATTAGGTTTTAAGATTTTACCTTTCGGAATTTTAAGATTCTAATGGCATCTGCCCCTAACAATGCGCCCATGATTTTGGAAATTTATGGTTAGATTGTTCAATGGGTGTTGGGAATTTGGGTGTTCTGTGAGTTTGGGTGTAGTCAAATTGGGTCTTATTTTTCTAATTGATCAATGATGGCGGTGTTTCGACATTAGTAAAAGTGAAACCTAGGTATTTCCTGTGAGTTAGGAATGAACAAGATGGTTAATTTTTACTCTTTGAGTATGGATTTTGTTTTCATTGGTTTTGAATTATTGCTCTAAATTCGTGTTTTTCAAACAATCTCCGCGAGTTTTGGAAAGACCTGAATTTGGTTTTAAACAACTGTGTAGATTTTTGGTATGGCAGAGAAGGAGATGAAATATAGGGTTGAGTGGTTCAACAAGTAAGTTTTCTGCACGGCATCTTTAATCTGTTGTATGCTTATGTTTACTCTTCGTTTTAATTATTCACTTATACATCATCTACATGGTTAAAAGTTATAATACTATACACACTGCAATTTATAATTGCACCACAGAGTACCACTGTAATTATGGATGTTGTTAAGTTCATGAAATGATTAATGGATTTTGTAAAAAAAAAATTTATATGTTTCCCACAGACAGAGGATGTGCAAGAAGCAAGGAAAATAAATTTGTATGCATTGTTTGTTAATTTGATTATGCTAAATATTAATTTTATTGTAATTGTTTGCATTTATTTTTGGTTTCTCGAATTCTTATGTTTGGTGGTTATTTCGTGTTTCGGCTAAAGCATTTGGTTATGACTGGTTTGTTACTTTGATCACTGGAAGATTTGAACGCCCTCCCCTCACTCTCTCGAACATATATTGGTCCTTCTTTCATGGTAGTCAGTTTTTAGGACTTGACTTTTTGACCATATCCTTATATATCATCATCCATAAAATCTGTCCAATCTGTAGGATTGGACATATATTGGTCCTTCTTCACCGACTCTCCTTTGCCCTGACAACTACTTGACTAATACTATTGTTGTACCAAAAAAGTTTCATGTGGTCAGATGTATGAGTCCGGTACATAAGAAAGCTTTCGTATTATACATACTGATGTGAAAGTTTGTCTATATATAGTTGTCTTTTGCAAGCTACCTGCATGTGAAATTCTATCAACTCTTTTGACGTAATACTTTATAGATGAGAAATTAAGCAGAAATAAGCACAAACCGTACAGCTCTTATTAGCAACAGGGTTTACAAATGCCTACAACACAGATGAATCTCACTACGGACAAACTAGACAAACAAATACAACAAGCAAATACTACGTAAAGGATAGGGAGAAATTGGCGAATTAAGGATTGATACTTAGTTAATGACAGAGATAAGAGAACACACTGTTTGTATGATTGTGAATAAGATGAGAAAACCAGCTGCAATGACAGAAATCACTGCCAAGGGTGTGTTGAAATACTTTCGTTTCAAGCTTGCTTTCGATTGGTTCCATACCTGTCGGCAGTAGTTGTTTAGGTCCTCAGAACGAGCAGCAAAGTAGTAGCTTTCGTTGTTCCAAGAAACCCCAGTGCAAAGTTTGTTAATCAGATCAGAAACCTTATTGTTGTCGCCGAGCGTATTCACAAAAATTCCAGACTCAACAAGGAGATGTACATCCATTGGGGTGTTTACAAAACCATCCATGATGCGAAGATAATCACTAATGTGATTCTCCATGCAATGGCATTGTTCAAATGCAAGGAGATTTCTGAGTGTAAGCTCCGTGTAATCGTGTATTTCTAGTTGTGGAATTTCCAGAATACCCTTATTAATATTGAATGATATATCAAACAAATTTTTGCTCTCACTGACCTGAAACTTGACTCCAGCCTGGTGTAGTTTCTTAGCGCATGGTGTATTTAGAGGCCTCTCCGTTCGTGACTTCTTAGTTGGTAGAAATCTTCTTATACGATCGCATAAGTGTTTAACCTTAGGACTACAACAAGATGTGGGCCCTCCAGTTTGTGAGCTCTCACTGACCTGAAACTTGACTCCAGCCTGGTGAGGTTTCTTAGCGCATGGTGTATTTAGAGGCCTCTCCGTTCGTGACTTCTTAGTTGGTAGAAATCTTCTTATACGATCGCATAAGTGTTTAACCTTAGGACTACAACAAGATGTGGGCCCTCCAGTTTTTGAGCTCTCCAAAGGTGGTAGATGTAAAGTTCTTATCAAATCAACAAAGTGTTTTACTTCCGAACTAGAAGATATTTTATTCGCCAAAGTGTCTTCATTCTCCTTTAAACGCACCACCGTCTTCTGGAAGAACTCGCAAGAGAGCTCTATTATTGAACGCGGCCTCCCATCATTTGCGACAAGATCTTGAGGAGGGACAAATGCGAAAAGAACTTCAAGAATGAAAAATGGCAGCTGATTTTCAAGTAAAATCATGTCAGGCGCTATATTTTGCAACATCCATGGTTTTTTGAATATCCAGTCATTATCATCCTCCAAACGCTTAAAGTTCCTCAATAAAAGCTCAATGATGAAGGCGGCATCAACCAAAATGATACTTACAAATTTATCATCCTCAAACTCAGTGGCTCTTCCTTCATAACTACCACGCAGTCTTTCTTCTTGGGCCATTATTTTCTTCACATAAACCTCCAAGTCTACCCCAGTCCGACGTAGAAAATGTTGTAGGTACCTCTGTTTGTGTTCTTCCATGTATAACAAGACTTTGCGATCTTTGTTATCTATTTTATCTCTGTAATGGTGGAGTGGGCCTATTGAGACTACATGGGGTGTGTAGAGCGGCCTCTTCACCCACCGTAGTCGCTCAGGAACTCTGTAGATACAACAGTGAGGGGATAGGGGTGACAAGCCATCCAATTTCTTTCTCATCAAAGTCACTATGTCGTCGCTTTTTTTGTCATCTGGAGCTTGATTGTTGCTATCTTTCCCTTTCTTCGAAGCCACTTCGTTGGCGCTTTCTATGTCCTCTGGAGCTTGATTGCTGCTATCTTCCACTTTATTCCCCGGCATTTCTGATTTTAATAGATGAGGAGGAATTTATGAAAATCAATCTCAGTACTATCATGGGAAGTAACTAACTTAAACAATATTGAAGGTTAAAAAAATCCACAAACTGGAAATACTTTCAATTTGATTGATGACTGACTTGGGTAGGCAAAGTTTATACACCTTTGGTACGCCATTGTGGCATGCCTTACATATCACGAGTTACCACCTATTTTAACCTCTTCACATGTTGATGCGTATAGATTTGTGACGGTGCTACCTTAACGTACACATTTTATGTAAGTCATTTTTATATACAGTGAGACTCTATACATATATACCCGCATATACAAGTTAATCCAAATTAAAATACCAATCCTAATATTTTCACAGGGATTGAGAATCCCAGCTGCCCTCCCCCTACATACAGGTCACTCTCTATGCTTCAATTAAAAATGCTATATGTGTGTTCCTCAAAACATGCAAGAGATAAACAAAATTCTACTGAACGTTAAAATAAGACGTCTTTCCATAACCACCTAGTCTACCTTTCCTGATAAATTCCAATTTCCAACTACCATTCAAACATAAAAGGCTAAAATCTTCAAGAAACAAAAAATACATAAATAAGAAAATGTAGGCTTTGTATATAAGCAGATTTTTGTTGTCCTCCCCAACCCCCCCCCCCCCCCCCCCCCCAACCACAAAAACAAAAACAACCACCCAAAAAAAAAAAGGGGGAAAACTAATGAAAATGACTTGAAATTTTTTAGTGTTAATGATAAGGACCAAATAAAGGGTAAATTGAATAGTACCATGATTGACTTTTTAATGTAAAAATATGATTTTTCGTTAAAATGAAGAGTACCGTGGACTTTTCGTTAAAACTCTAAAAAAAAGAAAGTGAAAAATAAAATTAATTAATTTAACAAACCAAGCTGACGTGACGTCACTTGGGATTGTGACGTAACCTTTTAAGGGTTAATTACACTAACACCTCCTGAGGTTTATCGTGTTTTCACAAAACTCCCTCACATTTGAAACATAACACTAACACCCCTTGAGGTTCTAATTCACTTTCACATAACCCCTTTAGGGCTAACATCACCTTAAAATAATTTCTTAAAGACAATTTTGCCCTAATTATTAATTACTTTATGAAAAATCCTTTATAAATAAATAGAATAAAAATTCAAATTAAAATCTTACATTAAACAATAAAAGAAAATAAAAGAAAATTGAAGAAATCTTGTTACCTTCTTCCTCTACGCTGTTAATTCATATCCCAATCCTCTTTTCTTAATTAGAAAAACCCTAGCAGAACAAATCTTTCTCCTGTTAAATCCTTTGGGAGTTTCAGAGTATGAATGTGGTCAGAAGCCAAATCAGGTACTCTTCTCCATGTTCTTCCATATCGTTTTCTCGTCGAAATTGGTTTTAGTTTGGGTGAACAAGGAGTGAAGGAGGTTGACGAAGAGTTGGAGGTGGCGATTTGAGGGCAAGAACAGAAAGAAAAAAAATTGAGAGAAAGATTCGAAGATGCATTGGCTTTCTATCAGTTTATTTATTTATTTTTTATGGTTAATGTATGATTTTGAAGTCCAACAAAAAAAAAATCTATTTTCTTTATATTGGTTATTATTATATGTATTTTTAACAAGCCTTTTTTATTTTTTAAAGTAATTAATAATGGGGCAAATTTGTCTTTAAGAAATTATTTTAAGGTGATGTCAGTCCTGAAGGGGTTTTGTGAAAGTGAATTAGAACCTCAAGGGATGTTAGTGTTATGTTTCAAACGTAAAGGGGTTTTGTGAAAACACGATAGACCTCAGGGGGTGTTAGTGTATTTAACCCAACCTTTTAATTCATCTCCGACTGCCCAAGTGTAACCATATAGGTGGTGGCGGTGTAAATTTGGCTCGAAACAAGCCACAAGAGGATATGAAGAGGAATTCGGGGAATTATAACTGGTTCAGTTTGAAATATACGGAGTCCTTTTTTTTTGTTTTTGAGGTAAAAATATATGGAGTCTTTCGGTAATAAAACTCAACAGTTAAAATTCATTAAGCTCGAATACCATCCATATATTAGGCCTAAATGGTTAATTAAAGATAATATCAATGTATGATTGTACTTAACAGTGGATGCTTATAAAAGTGAAAAACATATACACACAGCCAAACTATTTAGCTAAAATAAAATTGAAACATATGTACACAGCCAAACTATTCAACTAAAGGATATTAAGAAGAAAGCTGCAGCATCCCCTTAACCGGTAAATATGAAACTAAAAGCTTCAAAACAATGGACATGTGCAAACATAGCAGGGAGAAGAAAAAAGCCAGATGAAACATCATAAATTGAAAAGTGAGTTGCTATTGGTACTAAAAATAAGTCATTAAACACGTTTAGAAGTGAAATTTATTATTTTGAGAATAAGTGCGTGATAATGTTTCAAAGTATCAATAACAGTACTTTATATTGAAAATGAAAAATAAAAAAGAAGTGAACTCGAACCTGCTTTGTATACAAGAAAACAAGCAAGTTTGTACGATGAATTAGCTACTTGCTCCTCTGGTACTCTGGTAGATGAAAAACAATATTTTTAGCAACAACGCAATGATAGGCTTGCTATATATAACCATTTCTTCTTCAATATGTTTTTGCAGAACGTATTTAATTCAGCAAATTAAATTACTGTCGTGATTTATGTAGCTATTACCCTTGTCTTTTCTTCCCTGTAAACATACGTGGTTGATGCTAATTCACCAATTAATGTAGTGACAGTCTGACAGCTTGAATTTGGAAAAGTCTTGATATTTGTGCTAGCCAGATTTATCTCACTTGTAGTACTGGATTAATTTAGCTTCTTCATAACTTATGGTGTTAATGAGAGAAATGTTTAAACAAGTCAAAGTATACAAGAAAAAGAAATACTCTCTCATAATTTAGCGCAATAATAATTGCCGCGACATGGGCTTACAGGCTTCTGTGGATGAAAGCGATGAGAGAAAACCCAGTCAAAAGACTTTGCCCTGGACAATGTTTGTGGTGGAATGGAAGAGCAACCTCAATTTAGCTTGCAAGGACAACTATATAATTAAGCTAGGGTACTTTAGGCATTGTCTATCATCTGCCTCTCTTATTCAATTGTTCATATCTTTATTTCTATTTCACCAACCAAATAATGAAAGAGTGGTGCTATCTACACACATGTGTTTGTCTTATAGACACTCTTCTCAAATTTTAATCGTTGGATAACTTGGATTGAATGAACTAAAAATAATTAAAAATAGAAATTGATTTTATTATAGCTAATTTTCCAATCATTTTTAATGTGGTACTGTTAGATTATTTTAATCAAACTATAACATTCAACCAGTTTGCATGAATCCTTGTGGATCATCTCCGGATCTAGTGGTCCTAATCCACCAAGTCTAATCATACAGGTTGTTGAAATTTAATTTAACAGTTAAAATTATTATAACTTTAAAAGTAAACTTTTATTTATAATCGTTAGATCAAATTTCAACGATCCGGATGATTGAACTTGGTGGATTAGGACCACTGGATCAAGAACCGATCCATGTCCCTCTTTAACCTTTGGCTGGGGACAACAATCAATAAGAGTGACATCACCAATGTTACGTCATCTGGCAATAATGGTCCCTTCACGGGAAAATGGAAGAACTTTCATTTAACAGACATAAATATTTGGGGCCATGAGGCTTATGATTGTAGTACAGAGGCACACTGCACCACTAGCAAGTTATTGGATATTAATATGTGGGCTGAGGCTTTGGTACGAAAGTTTGACATGTTTTAAGAGGAAGAAAGTATGCGTCGAAATCTCTTCTTTTAGACTTTATTTGTGTCGACATTTAGATCACCTTCAATTTTTGGATTAAAATTTAAAATATTTAGCTCAAAAAATTTAAGTTTTAACTTAGAAATATTTTTTCGTTCCAACCTTTTTAGATTAAAATTTTAGTTTCAGATTATTAAAGGATGAATTTAGGTTTTTTTTTTTCTCAAAGTAACTTTTTAAAAAGAAAAAAAATAATGAAAGAGTGGTGCTATCTACACACATGTTTTTATCTTATACACACTCTTTTCAAATTTTAACCGTTGGATTGAATGAACTAAAAATAATTAAAAAAAATAGAAATTGATTTTATTATAGCTAATTTTCCAATAATTTTTAATGTGGTACTGTTAGATTATTTTAATCAAACTATAACATTCAACCGGTTTGCATGAATCCTTGTGGATCCTCTCCGGATTTAGTGGTCCTAATCTACCAAGTCCAATCATTCAGGCCGTTGAAATTTAATCTAACGCTTAAAGTTATTATAACTTTTAAAATAAGCTCCTATTTATAACCGTTAGATCAAATTTCAACGATCCGGATGATTGAACTTGATGGATTAGAACCAGAGATGATCCATGTCTCTCCTTAACCTTTGGTTGGGGACAACAATCAATAAGAGTGACATCACCAATATTACGTCATCTGGCAATAATGGTCCCTTCACACGAAAATGGAAGAATTTTCATTTAACAGACATAAATATTTGGGGCCATGAGGCTTATAATTGTAGACAGAGGCACACTGCACCAGTAGCAAGTTGTTGGATATTAATATGTGGGCTGAGGCTTCGGTACGAAAGTTTGACATGTTTTAAGAGGAAGAAAGAATGCGTCACCGTGCGTCGAAACCTCTTCTTTTAGACTTTATTTGTCTCTGGCATTTAGATCATTTCCAATCTTTAAGTTAAAATTTAAAATATTTACTTCAAAAAATTTAGATTTTAAGTTAGAAATAACTTTTTTTATCCGGCCCTTTTAGATTAAAATTTTAGCTCTAGATTATTAAAGAATGAATTTAGATTTTTTTTTCTTAAAGTAACTTTTTTAAAAGAAAAAATTATGTAGAATATCATAATTTAATTTTATGAACATTTTAACCTAAAAATATATAGATTCTGACAAATATTAAAAAATCACTAACAGACACATGAAACTCGTAAAATACTATAAAAAAAAATATGAAACATAAAAAAGAAAAAAAATTTAATTACTTTATCGTTTGGATTTAAATAAAAATTTTACCACGTAGAACGAAATTCAAATATAATTTGTTATTCAACAATGTTTTTCCAGAAAGTCTGTTCCTTCTTAGATCCCAAGCTTCCAGTCAAAACATGAAAGAAACAGAACAAAATTCTACTCAATGTTAAAATAAGAAGTGTTTCCAAAGACAAAAACAAAGAAGAAAAGGTAGGTTTTATATATGAGAAGTAGATTTTATTTTCCCAAAAATTAACTAGTAGATTTTGATTTATATATTTATGAGGAATGGGTTCGGTCAGATTGAATTAATTTGTTCTATCTACCCTTATATTTTTCCATGGCTATGTCCACCCTCAATCATCCTCATTTTGTCGTAAGGCGCTCACAATTACTCAATTATTTTAATCCATATCAAATACAATTTCTACTTTTTAATATATTTTTCTAATCTTTGGGCACTGCTTGATTTGGTTTGTCAAATGGTGTATAAATTTTCATACTTGCTCTGTTAATATGTTAGACCCACCCTATGTTTGAGGTTTTCGTATGCAATGCTGAAACATTTTATG